CAGAAAATTCCAAATTAGAATTGGAGTTCTATCTTCACGAGGCACAAGTCGACTTGCCATTCTCCCCTTGTAGTTGAGGAGCAGCCAAATCTAAGCAAGCTGCAAAAAATCATATATCTCTGCTTTAACGTTATATATCAATTTTTGTTACACATAGCAAAGGTAAATTCATTAAATCAAACGAACAGACCAAAACAACATTAAAGCTGCACAAAGATACTCCAGAAAAATTAACTTAACTTGAAGGGATACATCATGTTTCCAAAAGCATAACTCATATAAAGCTGTAGCGGAAATTCAAGTTGTTGTCTCACACATGAAGTTTTCATTTGCTATGTTGTTGCAGATGGTGCTTTTGCGTTTGCTCACATTCTCAATCTCCAAAACCTTATCATGCTAATCTAATGCATCCACAATCACGTATCCATACATTTTTAATATCCACGCTCAAGATAACTGGCATCCACAAGACTGTGTCCACATAGATATATTCAGAGACACGTGTTTCTTACTATCAAATCATCCACTATCTTATATCCATATGCTGTCTTTTTATACAAACTATTTGTCTATCCATATTTTCTTATCCAAAAATCAGTATGTAGTTTGCTTCTTTGTCCACATATAATAATACCCAAACAAAGAATTCAAGCGAAAACTACGAAAGTGACCGGTCGTATGTTCCAATGACCAATTTTTTGATATTTTCTATGGTGATTTCTTAATGATTATAAACAATTTCTTATATATGATTGAAGTGGTGATTCTTCTCGCCACCATAGCACTGTCTCATTTTTCCGTCGGAGGAGAGACAGAAGCTTCGTTTAGCAAAAAAAAAAATGCTATTATTTTAATGGGATCCCTATTTTAATCAAACAACAACTTCCTCATTAAGGGTAACATTGGAATTTCGTGTACCAAAACTCTATTGAAAACAACCCAAGTCCCTCATATCCACAAAGTGCCTATTTTGATAGTTTTAAAGTGTAAAGTGCCTTTAAATGTAAATCAATCATGAATATTTTAGCTTCATGTATAGTCTTTACTCTTTAGTGAGAAGAAACCAAAACAAAAACTAACTACAAAAGGAAACCATACGATGGATAAGTGAGTGGCTCAATTATTTACAACTTTATTTATGAGGGCATAGCACAAAATTCGTAGCCCGAGAAGAAGTGAAAGAGACAAGAGAGAAGAGACCGGGTGGTGATGGTCACGACGGCGACGATGGTAGGACCGCCGCACGTGGCCTGCCTTACCCATGTCTTCCATTTGACCAGTCAACGTACTTCCTCTTTGATTATTGGATTGGATCCTTTGGTACATTTCTAAAGGACTAAAAGGATTATGAATTTTGGTTCAAATTAGAATATTAACTAGCATTCCTCTTTTTCTTCTAAACATAGTTAGGGGTGCTACGAGATTGAATTCATTATTTTACTACTAACCATAAGTTATACTAAATCATCATGCATGTCCTATGTCATTCCTTAAACCGATGATTACAGAATACAACAAACTTTATTTTTCTAATAGAATACACTAAGACGTGACGAGTCTTCCATCATAATTATGTTAGCGCCTAATGATAACGTCAGTTAAACAAGAGGGGACCAAACAAACTAATGATTTTTGAATATTGTGTGTCCCTTGGTTTAAAGATATAGTCGCGCACAAATTAAATATTACTCCGACCCATCACTTTACAAATGTACTTTGAGATCATCTACGACATTTAGCTATATAATATACTATGTTTAATACTAACAGTTGATTAGTTATGCATTATAGTCATAGATTATCTAGAATGATTATCTTGATACGAAAGTATCGTTTTATAATTCAACAGCTATTTTTAATCAGCACAAATCATAAGAGTTTGAGCCAAACCAGAGGACATGTTGAAAATTGTGATAGTTCCCCGAAGACCTAAATTAAAAGTAGAGTTTCTGTTGTGTCGGAATTAAAGTTGATTAGTTTAACTCATCCCCATGCGTGGGGCAGCAATAATCAATAATTTACTAAAGAGACTTTGATTGGTGATTTTTAGATTAAAGCTAAAAAAATTGCAAATGATTGTGCATGTTATGGTTGTTGCCGCCTTTGAATTATATATCATGGAAGAGAGAGTTGTTGGTTTAACTAAAATCAAGGATTTTGTTCTGAGAACTTGTTTTTAGAAGATACTTGTCCTTAATTGTCATGACAAATCGAGGAAAACATAGCCCAAAAAGAAAATATGAGATCAACCAAGGAAATAAGGAACGACCATTTTTACATTATCTGTAAATCATTTATATTACGAATGTCACTTCACAAAGCCAAAAGCTATCACAAAATTTTGTCAACTCTCTCTATTATACCGTCAGTATTTACAATATTGTCCTCTCCTCCACTAAACAATTGATTTTTCCATATTTGCTCCAACGAACAAGAACTTGGTAACCAATAGAGAGGCCTAATCGAAACAAGCTACACCGATTCCTCCACAATCTGGCATCCAACTCGGATTCGAAACCGACCCGGTTAAGCTTCAAACATCACGATGCGTCTCTCTCCAACCAACAAGAGCCTTTTATACATAACGATCTTGGTTGAAATGATTGAGAATGAATCAGCAGAGAAATCAATCGTTCCAACAAAGAAGCATCACGACACATCTTCGAATGATGTAAAGCTTAGCTCTTTGTTCTTTAAGGACAGCTCCAAGTCCTCTGCTCGATACCCTTCTCTTTGAACCTCCCATGCTTAGACTTGATCCCAACTTCATCTTCGATATATGGATAATTCCAAAAGACTTTTGCAAAAACGAATTTTTCTTTTCTTTTCTTAGGGTTTGATATATGAATAAGAGAATGAAAATGATGATGATACAAAGAAAAAAAGAGTCTTTATATAGAAGAAGAGAAAGATAGAAACGTGACCCCACACACTTCTCTTTCACTGCCCACTTGTGTGTTTTTTGCGTTAATGCAATTTATTATCGCTGAATTTGAATGGTTTATATGGTCACAAATTCACAAAACCCCCAAAACATGTATGCCCTAGTTGTCGCAGTTGTTGGTATGTGTCACGGAACACATGGCTGCCACGTGGCGTAAGCTTTTATTATGATTTGAGAATTTATATTTGTGAATTTTCGACTAAAATAGTTTGTCTCCTTCCACCTGCTTCTAGATTATTTTTCCTATTATAATTAGTTGGCTTGGCTAAGTATTGTTTATCTTAGGACGGTAATTCGAAGACCAACCATAGTTTTAAAGCTGCGATCGAACGAAACGAGGTTTAATATACAAGCGCTCACAAGTCACAACAAACTTTTGGTTTTATTATTACACATACAGAAAACTTTGAATTGTTTTTTTCTTCTAAGTTACTTAATTTAATTAGTTCGTGCCAAATAGATATTGTAAATATATTAGTGATGCACGCATTTGTCGTTATATACACGTATTTTACTAAGTGACGCCTATTTTTTGGAAATGGTAAAATAACTCCAAAATGTATTGCCTTCGACTGATCATATCTACTATCTCATGGATTATATATACATCAATATCCAAAATATCAGTGAGTGAAAGATAATATATTAATTAGTTGTGACCACAGTCAAATTTTGTGGATGATATAAATAGTTGGGTTTGGCAGATCTTTTTATAAATGATTTATTATAAATTTCTTTATATATACGGCTTGGATCCACGTCAGTGTATCAATCTATCAGACCTTCCACGCACACTTTGAAATTATATGGTGTGCTGTGATGGAAGCATATTTGTAAGAAAACATGATTTTTTCTTTTACTTTCTAAATTATGATTTTGTAGTTTTTATTTTTGGAATATGTGATGATTGATGAACTTCTTGTTCTAGAATTGTATTATTTTTCTTATCATCATGTGCATTAAGCTGACCAAAACAGTTAGTAAACTTATCTAACTTATTGATATCAAGAGTGTATATTTCTTTCTAATAGAATGGGCGTACGTGGTTCTAGAAGTATTGGTTATGCATTAAAGTTTTTGCTAACTTGTTTATTCAAACAAAGTAACAAACTTTCCAACGTTAACGCATTATTACATCAAAATCTTTATCTTTTTTTCCATCTGTGTTCGAGGGTTTGACTCTTGTGTAAAGTGTCCATGACGTGGCATGCATGTTGAGATTCTTCCAGTGAGAATGTATCATGATTCATGATACATTAATCCAAAGAATGCGTTAGGTGATGATGATTACTATAATAACTAATTAGTTGTTAATCTACGGTTGGCGCACGAATTATGATTATACTAAACAAAATGATAGAAGGTATACTTTCCGAATATAATAATTAGCTAGTCAGATACAAATTACAATATTGATATGCTTAAAATTCCTTAAAACGAAAGTCGACCTATATCCCTCAATAATACGAATGAAGATATCGGGTTAAAGATATAGAACTCTTCTACCAATAACCACTACTAAATAAATAATCTGTTAACAACAAAACTGTGGGCTCCTTGTATACAACAAAACACACTTCATAAGGATTCTTACTTACTTGAAAGCCTTCTTGCATAACCTTGTAAATGTAAATCCGACCAAATAATTCCAAAGCCTATCATTGGCCCAAGTACATACCTTGTTTTACGGTTTCTATGTGGGACTTTCGGTTGTTTTTGGTTGATTGTGTAATCAACTAGTTTGACATGTTGTCTATGATATTCTTAAATCTTAACGATGGCTTTGTATGTACGAAGAGAGAAATTCTTGTTCTATGAACAGTATTTAAATTGATCTTAACTCTGACAATATTGGGTCAGAGTTTCAGAGAGTTGTTGAGTAACTTGGTTCCTAATTACTTTGTGTAGCTGACTAGCTTAGTATTAATTATTGGGTAGTAAAGATAGAAGTATTAAAATTAAATAGGTGTTTACAAATTTTATATATATTTTTCGAATATATATACACTATGAAGGTACAAGAACAAGAACTGAACTTAAAGATTTATCTACATCATCACAATGGAAGATTAGTAACTCGTTTATGAGAAGATCCAGTCTTGGAGAAGTCAGGCTCAGTTTTCTGTGTAGACGGTAACATTTTATAAATCCAGGCTGCAGAGATAGCTCCAAGTGTTGGAGCCAGCAAGTAAATCCATATCCCTTTGTAACATCCCCACACAAGTGCAGGTCCTAAGCTTCTTGCTGGATTCATCGATGCTCCTGATACCTCTCTGTCAAATGAAAGATTGGTTAGCTAAAGAGATTCATTACCATTGAAAAATTAAGATTGAGGAGGGAAAAGCGAAACTTACGCGGCAAAGATAACATTCAGTGTGACGGTTGCGCCAATGATTAACCCCTCTAGTTCCTGAGTCTGCAAGATTCATCAATGTTATCATCTGGTCAAGATATGTGTTATGTTCTATAGGTTGTTGATCGCTTACAGTTCTCTTGGCGGTTGTAACAGCACAGACGACTAACATGAGGAAGCCGGTGATAATGAACTCCATCACGAATGCTTGAATGTCAGATCCGTTAGGAGATGACCCGAGGAAGACATCGTTTTTCTTGCTGCACACGTCGTTGTTTAGGTCAAAGAGAAGACGTAGTGTGGCAGAAGCTAAAGTTGATCCGATGACTTGAACAGCTATGTAGGCCGGTACTTGATTCAGAGGGAATCTCTGGGTCGATGCTAAAGCGATAGTGACAGAAGGATTGTAATGTGCGGAGACGTGGCCTAGAGAGTAAACAAGAACCATTATCACTAGACCCCAAACCGCTGCAATTCCAACAAGAGTCACTGCATTGTTGTGTTGAGCGTTAACGGCAATAGCGGCACAACCCGCAAATATCAAGTAATAAGTTCCCACGAGTTCCGCTATAAGCTGCAAGTTGATTTGCTCATCGTAAGTAACAGTTAAAACTTAAAAAAAGAAAAATAAAAGCTTTGGAAGAATGAGTTAAGCAGTTTTTCCTTAAGGAATTGAAGAAACTCACCTTTTGCATGAAATGGAGGGAGAACAATGGAGAGGAGGATGACTCGTCTTTGTTGGGAGGAAAATAAGGAAGTGAAGTGTCTGCAACAGAAGAAGCTTTGATGTTGAGTACCACAACATTGCCATGGTTGCTTTTGCTCAATGATATGTCACCCATTTGTTAATTATTATTTTTTGTTTTTTTCTGTTTGCTCAATCTGAGAAATAGGAAATAAGAAGGTTAAGAAGAGAGTAGAAAATTTGATTGATGTTTGAAGCTTTTTAAAGTTTTGTTTCTGAGAGTTCCGTTTTATGATGGAATTTTGCCTTTTATAGTTTCTTTAGCATAGTGTATTTGTTTAACTTATTGGATAGTGTATTTGTTTAAGTTAACATAACTAAAGGCGGAAAACTGCTAAATTGTAGATGGTTTTGGAGAGCAAAAGACATAAGTCGAAGCCAAATTGATATATTTTATGGTTAAAAAGCTATCTAATAATCTAATTACACACAAGTGAATAATCTAATCGGCATGCATCATACAAATTGATATATTTTATTGTTAAAAAAAGTCAAATCCAGTTTTAGTTCTCGGTTTGGTTTCCTGGTTTTTTGTGATTTCCAATTTTGTTAGTTTAGGAAATACAGGAACCAAACTGGTGGAAAATGTTTATTAACAGTTTACATTTCATTCGTACGTTTCTCCAAACCGGTTTACACATCAAACTCTTTCCGTTGACTTACACCTGTCTCTGATTCCACTTGGCATAAAATATATCACGTGATCGAATAAACACCGTCGGATCAAAAACCCATACACCTCTTCGATCATTTGCCACGTGGCTAAACCAACGGATTTATTACGATCATTCCGTAATTAGTTGAAAATCACCACAGCTTTTAAACCATCCCGTAATTTCAGCTTTCTTCCACGTCAGCAAAACGCGGTTGTCTTCCTCCACCGTCCGATGTTACAAATCAGCTGTCAGCCATCAACGGCGAGTAACGGAACAGATCGTAAGGTGCCCAAAGCAAATCCAACGGACACGGTCTTCTCGAGTCAAGCCTGAGCCACGGCTTCCCTTTCCCGCTCCAATGCAACAGACTCACCGGACCCGGATGCAGATTCCGGCAGAGTCCCTCGAGGTTATCCCCGCCGAGACCATGCTGATTCCACCTGTGCTCCACCGGCTCAACATCCCCGGCGAAAACCAGCAGAAACGGCGGCAGAGATCCCAACTCGTAGATACGGTGCCGTTTCTGGATTCTCATCCACGTCTCGAGCTTCACCGTGAATCTCCCTTCTCTCCATCTTCCGAGATCGATCACCATCACGCCGGTATTGAAATAGCACGCCTTCCTTCCTTTCAACGCCGATTTGTAACCTTGGCTCGACCAGAATCTCGACGTGAAGTAGTTCGTGAAATTGGCGTGGCAATACTCCGGAGCTCCGACGACGTGTCGGCGTAGATCGATTCCCCAGAGCTTCGCGACGTCGTCGACTACTACGAGATCGGAATCGAAATAGATTACGCGGCGGACTGCAATTGGGAGGAGATCGGCGAGGTAGATCCGGGCGTAGTTTAACGGCTGGTCTAACGCACGGCGAATCGAAAGAGAGATTTTGCTGCGGACGAGGTTAGGGTCAAAATGGTAAATCTGGAAAGTTAGGTAAGGGAAAGTTGAGGAGATAATGCGGCGGAGATCGGCGCTGTGTCGGTGAGTGACGATGAAGTGGAAAACGACGTTTTCAGGACAAGAGGCGTGCTGGAGAACGGAGAAAACTCCGGCGACTGAGCCACGGAGGTAAATGGCGTCGAGTGTCATGGAGATATGGATGATGGAAGGCTTGTGTGTGCGATCCGCCGGCGACCAAACCGTTTTGGAGCATTCTCTGCCGTTTCGAAACGCCGGAGCTTCACGAAACACGGGGAGGTCAGTGACGGTGACGCTGCTGGGAGTGGGAACAGAGGCTTCTCCGAGAGAAAACGCGATTGGAAACAGCAGAAGTAGATACAAACGCAAACGCGGTGAAGACATTTTCTAGACTTTTTGTGTACTCTGTGAGTAGTAGAGAGCAGAGTGAAGACAAGAGAGTGTGTGAGAGGAGAAGCGGCTTTTTGTGCCTGTGTGAATGGCGGGATTAGGGGTAGTTTCGACACATTGTGACGTTTTCGTTAATGCTAATTTGTGATTACATGTTATAAAATGTTTTTAATATCAAGTTTTGAGAGATATACAATAATTATGGGGGCAGATATTGTCTAGAAAGCCAGCCTGGCAAGGAAGAGACGCGTGATTGGTGATTTTGAAAATGCGTACGAAATGGGCAATGCGACTCGCGATTACTCTCTGTTTCGCAGATCAAGTGTCAGCATCCACGTGTTGAACGTTGTGACTCTGTTGACCTAGATTTCTAATCATCGAACGGCCACTAAGAAAAGGCGCGGAATCTGAATTATATGTCATGCGTACGTGATTGAGAAGCGCGTTTCATTCTAACGCTTTGTGCGTCGGTGACCAACTAAAACGAAAAGCACAATCTTCAGATTTCCGGAAAATAATTTTTGTTTCCTTGCATATCGATTTCCCTAATTAATGTTACGTTTTCATATCTTGTAAATTTTTTACTTGTGGTAACAAATCTTGCCAATTTTTGTTTACTATCATCAAATTGAGATTGAGATTTCTTCAGTTTTTTTCTTTCTATTTATAGTCATAATTGATTTATTGTAAGAAATAACAAGGTTTCAAGCTGTTCTTTTTTTTTTCTAGTCAACACAAGCTGTTCTTCTATCACTCATTTTATTTTGGATAAATACGACAAAGGGATGTTTGAAAGAGGGCAAGAATATCTGATATAGACCGATTGAAATAATGAAATACTAATAATCAATTCTAGAAGATAGGCCTTTATAACTAAGAACCGTTAGATATCCCATTAATGCATTTGTCTCAACTACTTGTTTGCCATACATAACGGCAAATCCAATTTGGATAGTGCACAATGGTAACGTCACTTTCGACTATTCTGAGAAAATTGAGCATATGTGTCGGAATTACGTAGACGGATGTGTGACTGTCCATTTCGGTAAAGAGTTGGTTAATACCAGATTTGACAGAGATAATTCGGGTATTTACAGTTATTATATGAAGGTGTACCATAAAAAAGTTTTGGCGAACTTCAAATACTGAGTAAGGTTCGGATAGTTTAGGTTGATAGTATGAACAAAAGTGTAGTAGTTCTTCTGTGCGAGAGAACCTTTAAGAACACAAAAGTTATGGTATTTTCTTTAATATTTAAGCGTTTACGAAAAAACAAAAACTGTAGCAGTTCTTCGATAAATAAGAGAGATTCTTTAAAGAAGTGGTAAGATCTTTCTTTTTAAAAATTCCTTCTGAACAAAACACAAGAAGACAATGGTCCATGATGAATATGATGCAAAGATAAGATGAAAGTTGAAACACAAATGTTTGGAAGTTTTTGCTTTGTAAAAGGAATATTGTTCTTCACGGATTCTTTTCCCCTCACTCTTCATATTTACTTACATTTTCCTCGAATTATAGTGTCATCGATTCAATATAACGATATAAAGATCTTGAAAACATGTTCGATTTTCCTTTGAGACTACAATTAACGCGCAGTTTTGCTTACAACTGTTTTTGCAAACGCATTTAAAAGTTATCGTGGTACTATGTCAAACGTTATCGAGAAGCAAGACAATCTGCTTTCATTAGCTAGAATACATTTACATAGAGATTAATACTCCATACTGGTTCGTCGTCCTCATTCTCTCCACATTATTGAAATCGAGAATCTACGAATAATATTTCACCCATTAAGCCATGGGAAATTATAATCAATAATCATATTGCCAACCAAAATTAACAAACTAACCATATCAAACTCTTGGCTAGAGTACAAAGTATATTTTATACAATAATATCAATTTTGTCCTTCTTCTTTTATACATAAAAATCAATTCTTCCATACTATTTTTTGTGTGTGTATGGGATAGAACTATGTTTTCTTTTTCTCATTTAGGCTTTAGTGTTTTTTAGATTCAGATTTCCATTTTGTGTTTAGTATTTTGATTTTAGGTTTGTGTTTATATTTTTAGATTTAGGATTTTGGATTTCAGTTTAGGATTTTAGTTTTTTTGGTTTAGGGTTTAAATTTTGGGTTTTAGGATTAAGAGTTTTTTTTCTTAAAACAGGGTTTATATTATAGTTTTAGGGTTTAGTTTTTTTTCAGTTTAGGATTTAGATTTTGGGTTTAGGGTTTTATATTTTTTTTTAGTGTTTAGATTATTTTTGGGATTTGGTTTTTTATTTGGTTTTAGATTATATACCCTAAACCTAAAACCTAAAATATAAATCATAAAACCAATATGTAAACCCTAAACTCAAAAATTACTCTAAACCCTAAATATCTAGTAAAAGTGTTGTTCTACAACAACAATAAACTAGTATAGTATTTTTTTTAGGGTTAATATAAGTAGTTTTTTGTGAATATATTTATGTATCATAGCCAAACATTTGTAATGGCTATATTCTTAATATTTTTCCTAATATGATTATTCACCAAATTAACCCTTAAGCCATACTGCCATTATTATTTATCTTTTATTTTTAAAAAATCAAAATCTTCCAAGCAAATGCTGTAGCTGTAGCAAAGTCAGATGAGATCCCACCGACACAAAAACACAAATCTCTTTTCAATTATCTCATATAAAAACTATAGGGACAGACAAAAGTGGATGCCCTATCAATTTTCTGTCTCATTAGCTTTACACCATATTCAAATTTTAATATTTCCTTTTGGATTAGCCTGCTTACTTGCACGAACTTAACAAAGGGTTAGGAATACAAGTGGTTAGGAGAGATTTTCTTTTTTGGGTGAAATGATAGTTGTAAGAAAAAAATGATAATAGAAAAAGCTTTTAACGTGAACTGTGATTATTTAGAATGATTCAAAAGACCGCAAATTATAAATTTATGATTAGACAAGGTATCAAAATAGGATCATTGTGTATCTTTCACACATAGCAAACTGAGCAAGATTCAGTTAGCAAACTGAACAGTGATCCGTGTTAGCTAAAGGGAACCGAGAAATTCATGTTTTCAACTTGGTTCACATATATGACATAACAACAATTGAAAAGTATTGTTTGGGAA